TGCATCAAGGGTAATTATACAGGAAATTACACAGGGATTTCATTTAGGAAAAACACCTCTATGGAACAAAGTGTATGCTTAGGGGTTGGGGTGGGTTTTTTGTTTGTTTGTTTGTTTGTTTGTTTGTTTGTTTAGCCTAGCAACCTTTCAGGTCTAAAACCCCTTTCCTACAATTGCAGTAAAAGACAAATCTTTCATTTGCGAGGCACCCAGCATACTGCCATAAGACTGTTTAACAACAATTACATCACTTGCCTGTTTCAGATTGACAGTGAAGGGTTTTGATATGATGGCATTGACCTATTTGGGGTGGTGCAGCAACTGGGTGGTGCTTCTATGCCTCAGGCAGGATATGTTACCGAACACTAGTACTTCACCTGATGCTCTCAAGCCAGACTTGAGGAGAATGCCACAACCAAACAAAAATGTTCTAGGATTAAAGGTAAAGACAGAAAAAAGCTCTAAAGCCAGAGTTTAATTGAAATATTTTGCAATTAAAATACTTTCCTCCCATGCTAATCAATTTGAGATATGCCATTGAAACATTCTGCATTTTAAAAAGGTGGCTTGCTAAGAAACACATGTTAAATATTTCAGTTTTTATGCTCATAGCAGTTGTGAACATGTCTACGGGCTTCTCTAGTCAAGCGTACAAGCCTACACAGACTTACTGGCTTACCTGGTAGAATAGTCATAGCAGGGACTCAAAACTGGGGAGAGACTCAAGGGAGTATTGCCCTCTTGCAGATAAAGCTTTAAAATATCTTAAAGGTGAGCACTGATCATTTTGCAGCGATTCTTTCTCTAGCCCCTACTAATCTGAGCTGATACTGTGGCCTGACAGGAGCCATAATATTAACAAATCTGCATTCTGCAATGGGAAAACATCATTGGAGAGATTTCACTTGGTTCTACTTCAATGTCTAGGCTTAATCTATGAAGAATCCAGGATTCAGCACCCTGGGAAGAGCCACACCCTTTCGGAGAGGTTTTCTGGTCTAAAGTGCTAAAGTACTCACTCTAGATCTAAGTTTGTTGACAACTGAGCTCAAATTTACTTATGTAAATATCAGCGAATATTGGCAGTAAGATTGGATTTTTTTTGTCATTTTTTTGCTTATGTGCTTCATTTTTTTTTCCTCTGGTACCACTCAGCTACCTGTGCCCTCTCCCCTTTTTGAAAGGGTAGGGGAGAGAGAAATTACCATATTCTATGTAGGAAGTGGCGCATGCTTGAAATTTAAGATGCTTAAGAAAACTGCAAGAGGAAACTGCAAGAGAGAGTGTTAATTTTTGGTTGTGCACTCAACAGTACTAGATGCAAATTCAGTATGTTCCAGCGAAGAAGGTGAAACAGCAGCCCACGCAGGTCCTTACTATCTCCTTGATCCTGAGCGCAAAGGTGGCCAGCAGCAACATCATCTCCTTGCCTCCCAGCATGGATCCCTCTTTTGAATTTCCTGAGGGTTTTTAATTGTTTTGCTTTGAGATTCTTCCCTTATTTTCCTCTTTTTTGGAGGAGAGTCCTCTTTACAGAATGCATTGGTATGTCACCAAAATAGCACTACAGGTACTGGGGAAGTAGAAGGAAACGTAGACTACTTTAACCCTCCATGAAACAAGGTCTTAAAACTGAACAACAAGGAGACTTTGCCCCATTCGTAGCTTGTATAACTCAGACAAAAGTACAGTACTGTTTGAAATCTAGTTTGCTATAAAGAAAAGTCACTTGAGATTAAACAAACAAATGTGTTGTTCAGGTTTTTTTTAGAGAAGTCATGTCAAACCATTACTTAGGCAGCATCTCCTTAAAGATGAGGAGCAGAAAGGAAGGTGCTTTTAAAAATAGTGTTTCTGAAACTGAATTGTTGGTTCATATAATGCTCAAGAATGCTGCACAGTTCTTGTCCTGCTCAAATCCATTGATTTGCTAGTTATTTTCAGTAACAGTAAAGAGATGCTGCTTTTCAGTAGGAGAACGTTTACAAAAAAGAGTGTGATTGTTGATTCTCATTGATAACATTAATCATTTTCCATTGCTAAATCACAACCTATTTTGCTGTGAGTTTGTGCCATAATAGGTATCTGATTTATAAGCAATTCAACTTTATGAAATGAAAACAACTTTGGTATGTCAAATCTGGGCAGCATCCGGAAGGGTGCATAAATGCTATTTCGGAAAAGCTATCTTTGTTAGAAAAGCTCTCTTGATTGTTGAGATGGCGTTCTTCAACTTGTCATTGTATTACACAGTTCAGTCAGATGTTTAAGTTCAATGGATTTCACGCTGGTTCAAATAAAATTGCTCCCCCGTTAATCTTTATAGTGAGAATGGCATGAGATGTTACAATCATGCTATCAATAATTTCTTTTCAAGCTCTGGGTTCCGTTAGAGTGATAAAATTTTTTAAGAAAGTGATGGAAAGTTACTTAATGGTCACCAAATCCTTATATTATCTGGAATAATCCAACCATGGGAGAGTCTGCACTAGAGTCCCAGAAACCCAGAAATCTCTGATTTCTAATTAAATTCTAAGCGTTGCTCGTTTTAAAGCTTACATTAGGGGATGACAGGTATATCAATACACACCTGAATTGTTTAGGAATTTTTAAAATTACGACTTGACAAAAACGTACCTTAAGTTTTTTCTGCAGGAACACCATATTAACGTTCTAAAGTATGTCGACTGAAAATATTTATTTCTGCCTGGTTTTCACTTTTTTTTTTTAAACAAGTATCTTAATTAGCTTATGCAAATTATCATTTCCTTTCTTAGACTAGAATGTACTGCGTTTTACAAGATGCAGCAATGAATATAATCTTGAGTAGCTGACATTTGATGCAAATCCAGAGAAAATGAGATCTAAAGAGGGTAGCCTGTCATCCTTATCTCTATAGCTCTTTCACTTGACGTGGTAAGATTATATGGAATTGTAGAGGTGTGATAGCTGGTTTGGAAAGATGTGAAGGACAGGGCTTCAGTTCTAAAGAGCTTAGAGTGACCATGAAAACACACAGGGTAAGGATCCTGAACATTTGAACAGTACTGATTAGCACATGCCACATTCCTGCCAGTAACTTCTGTCTGGATTTCTGTATCACATTCTGTATCCTCTTAGAGGAAGGGAGGGTTAAGTGTTGAACTGAATTTCTGTATGTGAAAAAGCACACATGACATTAGCACTGGATGAAGTGTCATTTCTGCATTAGTAAAAATCAGATTTTAACAATTTTTTAAGCAGATGTCTATGTCCCTGCCAGGCTGGGGACAGTCACAGTGGAGCACAGGAAGGCCAGTATCATGTTCTGATGTCCACTCCTCTGCTGTTGTACCTGGCCCACCGTGACAGCACAGCCTGTCGGTGAGCCTTTCCGAAGATTGGGCCCCGCTTGTTCACTCAGCTGAACTGAAGGAGGACGCTGGACTTGAGTTATTTCGCGCCAATTTAAGAAACACACAAGCAAAGCTGAATCAAAGAATTATCCGGCTATTTTCATTTTAGCTGTTAAACCTACTGGCTGTAACACCCAGCCACACCCTCTGCAGAAAGAGAAACTGCATGCTCTTGCTTTAAACTGAATACAAAAGACACCAGGAAGATTTGAGAACCCCTGCAGTGTTTCCCTGCTGTTTGTATCAGTCACTCATATATGGCAAATAAAACTTCTTTTGCTAAAGTGTTGAGATAGGCTAATCCTGAATTTTGACAAATGATCGTATTGTCTGTTGTGGAATGGGGCCAGTAGCTTTACTCTTGTACTGACAACTGTTTCCCCCTCCCCTTTTTTTTTTTCTCTGCAGGAGGACAACTGTTAGTTTTGTGGCATACTGCTGCTCCACCCAGTGTCTACAGACTTTTGACCTACTGAGTTGATAAACACTTATAACTGCTCAGGAGTGCTGCCAGCTTAAAGCTGCATTAGACTGCGTAGCCCCTTGGTACTGGAATACTGTGTGCGTGTGTGTGTGCCAAAGCAGCCCAAGTGCCCATTCGGGAACTCTGAGAGGCACTTCAATCCTGCCCTATCAAACTTGGATGAACTGCAGAAACTTTTCGGAAGTGTAAATACTGGGCTTTTGCAAGTATTAACGTCTCTCTCCTCCAAGGCAGCATACAAACCAAACAAATTCACGAGTCCTATCTCCAGGACTTCCAGTATTTTTCAAGTGTGGCAGTTTTCAAGTGAGGCCACTTCTAACAGTGTTCAGTTGATCTATAATTAAAAAAAAAAAATCCGTTTCTGACAAGCCAGTTTTCAATTATTTCCCCCCCTTCCCCCATCCTCTTCACCCTGCAGCGGGATGCCGGTATATAGATCTAAGCCGAGAGAAACCTTTGAAGGATTGCAGCGACTCTCCCATAGAACTTAGCTTTATTTTCCCCCACTTGTCATAATAGTTTTCCCAATACAGTTATCCTAGTTGTAGACTGAGTCTTTGATAGCTAACTGATATTTAAATCTGTGTATTCAAAGCAGGTTTTTATTTGTGATACCGTTGCAAGCCTCACTGATTTCCCTGGAGTAATGAGGCTATATGCAGAAACTAAAGAACCCATTTTGGTAAAGAAGGCCAAAACTGATGTCTACACTAAGTGGTCTTGCCCCAGCATGTTTGGGGATGCGTTTTCTTTATTTTAATCTTGGGCTTTTTAGGAAACACTTTCCCTCTTCCTTAGGAGTTCTTCAGGAAGAAGACGACTTTAAATACAAATTTCATTTGAAAAAAATAGTAATATGATGATAAATATTTATCTATATTTATTATTTTGATAAGTGCAGACTGTAGACCTGCAAAGAGCCAAAGAGCTGGTCTTCGTCTTTTTCTTGGTTCAGCATTTGGCCGATTTCCGAAAGAGGCTCCATTGAGTGCTCTAACCTCAGAGAAAGCTGGAAAAGGGAGGAAAGTATGTGTATGTCCATGCATAGGCATATATGCAGACATAGATACCTTCACAAAAGGGCTGTAACATTTGTTGTAGCATGTTAGTACCAGATTTAGCACAAAACTCATTATCGTCTTCGTGGGAATCATTTTTGTTTGATCATGTTCATTTTAAATAAAGGACAAAGGATGGAAAAAAGGCCCAAAATGTCTGCACGACTTAAATTTTTCATTTTACATTGAAACAACTTACATAAAGTCAGCCTCTCTTGGCTTGTTTTAGAATATATAAATTTTAATACAATGTGTTCGTGATTTCTTTTTAGGTATAAACCAGGTGTTGATTTGACACAATGTTCTGCTCTGTGCAGTAGTTAGTTACATGCTGAAATAGATATGAATGAAACGGTTTGTTATATAAATGGCAAGATAAAGAGGCTTATTTGGTAGTATATTAGCATATGTTGTGGTGAGGTGCACATACTTTGAAGGAAGAAGGTATTAAAATGTTTTCCTTTTGCCAAAGAAGCATTTGTTCCTGCTGCAAGCTTCCTGGCATCTCTTCAGTAAATAGAGTATCTTAAGGGCTTAAAAGAGTACCAAAAAGGCAGTTTTTGAGGGTGGAATTTTTAGGTTGTGCATGTTACTTGTAAAAGCTGTGCTGGTTTTACTGGGCTGGTTTCAGAGAGTTGAATTAGCATTAAGAAATGTAGAGCTTAATCCTTCAGGAATGCAACTATCATCTACTTTTTAAGAGTTGTGAAACTTTCTAAAATAAATTCAATTTAATAAATCTGCTCTGCAGTAGGGGAAAAGAGCCATGTCCAAGTAGACTCTGTACTACTGGATTTCCTACTTTCTTGTCATTTCACTAATTTGTCTCAATTTTGGTATCCCCAACAGGCCTCCCTACCAAGTGGGGATTACCATAGAAGCTGCAGTATGAATCTTCAGTTGTTTGCTTTTTCTGCAGTGCTGCACATTTGAGGTATAAATTGCCCATTTTCAGTATATGCCTAGATCAGAAATGTGCAAGTGTACTACAGAATCCAATGTTTTAATGGATGGCACATGCAGACGTCGTTAAGCGGTTTAATTTGCCCTACCGTCATGTTTTTAGCTTTTAGAATAGAGCTATTGTGAATTGACCTCGCGCTTTTAAAAGGTGTGTATTGGTAAAGAGGGAAAAAAAAAAAAAATGAAACACACCAATTTTAAAATGGCACCTGATTCCATACACTAGTCCTTCCCTTAGGTAAAATATTGAAGAAAATAATCCTGCAAAATATTTCTGATAGAAAACTATTGTCATATTAGATGTATTAATTATTGGTGCAATACTCTGATCAGGAATTTTCAGTATCATTTTTATTCTGGTTTCCTCTGTATCCTTTGGGGGAGGTGTTTTGTTGGAAGTTTATTTTTCATCTTTTTATCTTTAGCAACTTATAGACTTTGTTTAAAACAAAGTCTATATTTCTGAATTCAGTCTGTGAATGGTATTTTGGAGCTAAACTTTTGGTCACTAGAAGGTATTGGCTTTTGTTTTATTAAGAATCAAACAATAAGAACGGGGCTTGATTTTTATTTTTTTCCCCACAATCTAATTATTTTTTTATTGGCTTCATATCAGTGTCTTCATTGTCTGCAAGTGCAGTTCAGCAGAAGAAATTCTGATTTGTTCTATAAGCAGGATGAATCTTAACTAACATTTTGATAGATGATATTTCAAGAATGGAATGTACAATGAATAAATGACTTAAGCATGCAATTGAAGCTGAAATGTCATACTTTTTTTTTTTTAAGAAGGAAGAGGAAAGCCAATGTATAGACTGAAAATGTAGCTTAAATTCATGTCTCTGTTTTTGATACAAACAGCGTTTGTATTCATCTGTATCTTTGGGTGGTATTGTTCTAGATTAAAATAACTCCCTTCTCACTTGTCCAAATTTTTCTAATGTTGTTGTTCTACTGTAACAGTATTTCATATTAGCTAGCATGAGGAGCCAGCTATGCAAGTTGCACAGAGGGGAGGGAGCTTGTTGCTTACTGAGCTGTGTCACTAGTTTTTTCAGTGCAAGTTCACATACTTTGTGACTTCTGTTTGATGCATTTACTTCTAAGTAAGTTTGATTGCTCTTGTTGATCTCAAAATGAATAGACCTGACCAATTTCTCCTTGAGTTTCACAGCACCTGGTTCTAGCAGTATAAAAAATGACCATTTTTAAGGATTTTTGTATCATAAAAATAGGTCTGAACCCTTTGCTTAGGGTAGGAGTGGGGGAAGTTTCTGAATTTTACTAGAAATTATAAGAGGAGAGGTGCAGAAGAAGAAAGGCAGGTTATAAAGGTTTTTAACCCATCGATATTCCTATAAAATGTTTCTAAGTAAAGATTAACTCCTAATGCAATTAGGGAGCACAGGCATAGTTTTTGTTTGTTGTGATAACAGGCCCCTCATTAATATTGAGGCCCTACTGGGTTGTGCTTACAGAGATAACTTTTTGTTTTACCATGAAGGAAATGGAGGAATCTCTAGCTTTGTTTAAAAATTCAAGTTGAGGAGTTTTATGCTGGACATTGTTACATTTGGAATATTGTACTTTGGAACCTTCCTGCTACTCCCACCATAGAGGATCAGAAATACAAATGTCATTTCCTGTGCAAAGAACAAGTTCTAATATCAAGAAGTGAGTATTTTTCTGTTTTGGCCTGATATTTCAATTGGGCTTTTATTGAAGTTCATTGTAAACCTCCTGTTTTCTTCACTGTGATGAGGTCAAGATCTTATACTGAGCAGAGTGGAGCTGTTTATTGCCAAGTTGGCTGCAATTCTTATGTATCAAATTCTGCTGAATCCCTTTTTCTGGCAAGAATGGAGGACAAGACTGTTGTAATCCCCTGTGTGGTAACAGTTTGTCAGGTTTTACTGACACCACAGCCAAGTTCAAGATTGGAGAGTGACAAATCTTCAACACCTTCACTGGAGAAGGTTTGTGGGTTTTTTTTTGTTGTTGTTGTTTTGTTTTTTTTGGAAGGCCACTGAGGCCCCATCAAAGTACCACTGGTAACAGAAGAACCTTCGCCTCAATGTCAGTGGAAGCTGGATCGAGTCTTAACTGATGAGAGAGAAGAATGTGTTTTACCGTCATTGTATTTCTTGCAAAAGTTGGGACAATGAGACTGAAGTCCATGCCTGTTGTTAGGCAACCTTTCTATCTGCAGCTGAACTTATGTAATTCCAAGATGTAATTATCTTTGCCTCTTACTGCCCTCTTAATGCTACTCACGTTATTGCAAAATTATTAGAGTTAATTTGTGATGGAAGAGGCTGAGTAAATTGAATCCAGAATTTTTATTACTTTTTGTATTACAGACCTATTTTGTAAGAGACCAAAGGTCTGGTGGGAAGAAATGGCAAGGTTCGTGTGAAGTCTCCATTGTTTTTGCTACATGTGCCCTTCTTTGGATTACAACTTGAGCTTGGATTACAACTGAGTTCATTTTGTGTCTGTTGAAAGCATATATGTATTGCTTTTAGCTCTGTATTAACCAAATGTCAACTAGTGTGAAAGTGAGCCTGCTAGAAGTTTTATTTAAAGTTAGTAGTGCAATTTATTGTATGTTGTTAATAAACTATATTTTTGCATACAGTTACAGTCCATTGAAGTTGACTAAACCTCTGCTCCTGGGGCTATTAAACTATGGTAGCATGTAGCGTATAATTTTTATTCCAGGTCTTTTGCATAATAATTAGTTAACAAATCTCCTGTCCCAATGCTGAAGAGGTGGGGGGAAGGGCGACTTTTCAAAGTACTTTCACTAGGTTCAAAACACCGCTTCAATTTGCTTAATCGCTTTGTCTCAGACAGGTTATGTAGTTTGCCAGATATTGCATAATATGAACAAAACCCATATGGAAACATTACTTCAGACCTTTCTATGGATTGATCAAAAAAAAATTTTTTTCAGTAGGGCTGTATTATGTG